GTTCAAATGGAGTCTCTATGTGAAAGTATACCACAAATGTTATTAGCATGTAAGCTAGCTGAAAACCAGATTTCAAGAAATGTGTGACTTGGAAAGAGTATGTATTGCTTGGAGCTTTCAGGGACAGAGTGGGGAACGTCTTGCACTACGGCAGATGAGGGTCACGGTGGGTGGTGAGGGTCACGGTGGCTGGTTTGGGGCGGAACAGGTTAGAACCCACAGATTGCCGCTCGTGGCTATATTTTTCATTGGTTTTGTTTGTTTTAGATTATTGTTTCATAGTTTTCCTGTTTCCTTGTTGTATTTTGTTCTTTTTTTGCCTTGGATTTTTAATTATATATTTGTTTTACACTATGATGTAATGTTTGCTTGTTGGGACCCCAGGAAAGCTCTCTGGTACCACTCAGCTACCACTATACCACTGAGAGGAGTGGATGTGGAAAGAAAGAACATGAAAACAAACAAATCCGTGGTGAAATCAGCTGGAGAAGAGCTAGTTATCGTTACCTCTAAGCAGCCGGTGGCTGCAACAAACAGCTCAGGGAGGTTGCACTGATTTACACTGTGAAGCGTTCAAGATCTATTCAGTAAGAATGAGTATTCGGCGAAGGTAAATTATAATGTTCTCATGACATGTTCAATGTAAACTTGTAAAATGTAGCTTTTGGTGAGAAACTTGAATAAATCCAGCTGTTTGAAGGAGAAATGTGTTGATGTTTTCACAGCACTATAAAATAGATATTAGAGACAGAATTATGATGTATCATATAGCCTATAGTGAAAAGGCTTTTTGCTTACTCCTTAAGGTGCGGACACACCAAACCGACATCAAAGAACCAGCAGTGACTAAAGCCAACTGTTGCATCGTCTATGTCGCCTCACATCGCCCTGTGTCAGTTGCATTTGAACACACTACACGGACTACATCCGACTACATCCGACGGCCAAGTAGCACGTACATTCTGCGCTTGCGTGAGAGAGAGCGGAGTGAGAGAGTGGTACATCCTGTCAGCCGAGGGGTTTCCTATCTGAGCAGCCAAGCACCGCAGCACCTCCACGGACTATTACATCCAGACGGTCCCGGTGTTTCCTCCGCAGGCTCCACTTCACTCAGCTGCCCGACAAATCCGCTGCTTCTTCCCACTTTAACCTGAATAACAAACCAGGGCTTGCTGCTCCGGTCGGATCCAAACGGAGAGACGGGGCTAGCTCAGAGACTAACTGGCTATGCTTCCCTCTGGTCACGCTGCGGCTAATGCTCCGCTAGCCTTCCAGCTAGCCCCGGCTCTTAGCAGAGGCAAACTGGCTGTGCTTCCCTCCGGTCATGCTGCGGCAAACGCTCCGCTAGCCTCCCAGCTAGCTCTGGTTTGTTATTCAGGTTAAAGTGTGAAGAAGCAGCGGGTCTGTCGGGCAGCTAAGTGCAGCTGAGTGAAGTGGAGCCTGAGGAGGAAGCACCGGTTAGCCCCAGTTTCACTACAGGCAGATTCACTCGCTACAGGGGCGAGGAAATAAAACCTGAACAGCCAATCAGAGTGATCTCTCTCACCAACAAGCTCCGCCGCCGATTCAACATGCTCAATCGGCCGAAAAGCCGCCAACGCCGAAGTGCCGATGGTGCGGGACACACGCTCACCGATGGCCCGACTTTGGTCGACGGCCGACCGTCGGCTTGGTGTGTCAGGGCCTTTAAAGATGTTTTTCATGTGAAAGAAGGTTATGCAAAAAATTGTTTCATAAATGTGTATTATTGAATTTGTGCTCATTCAAATGTAGTGTAATGAAGGGCTGAATGACTTTAAAACTGTTCATTAATTTTTTAATAGTGTAGATTTCTGTGTTTCCCTGGCACAAAAGAAGAATAAATAACAACAACAACAACAACAACAAAAGAAACATCAGTATAAAAACACTGATATCAGTTATTGGCCATTATTGTTATTGAAAACATTTGTATCAGTATCAGCCCAGAATTTCAAAATCAGTGCATTTCTAGTTTAATTTGTACATCTTATTATTATTTCACAATGTCATGTATTATTTCATTGTTTATTTATTTATTTGTTCTTTTTTTGTTTACTGATTATTGATTTATTTGATTATTATAACACATGTACTACATGTTACTGAAAGCAAATTAGCACATATCTTAATCATATTTTTTATTGTTAGCCAGGTTGTTTACTTGCATTTTGGTAATAAACATGTAGTACTTTGACTGTTGAGCTGCAGCAAATTTGGGTTTGGGACGGTGGGGGCCTGCCTAGAGCACCAAATGTGCTGGGACTGCCACTGCCATATTCAACATCAATTTCAAGGACTTTTCAGGGACTTTCCAGTTCAGTTCTCTCAAAGTCAAGGATCCAACACAGCACAGGTTGAGACATGGATCAAGGTTAATTACTGTTACAAGATCACAGACGACGACAACAACAACAACAAAACAAAAAATCAAAACAAAAAAAAAACTTGAATGAGACTTGAATGTATAAACACATCTTAATAATTGTGCTGTGCTACAGTGATGCAAACAACATCAAAATAACCTTAATATCTAAGGGGAACTTTCAATAATGCATGTCTAAATATGTCTATTTTCAAACAATTTCAAGGCCTTGATTTTTCCCCTCAGATTCAGAAACTGTCAAGGAGCTGTGGAAACCCTGTATGAATGTGACAGACAAAACATTAGCCTGCATAACTTCTAGCTAGGTCTACCTAATAAAGTGGCACCAGACTTTTATCACAGGAGACATTTTGACCTTTCATAGTAGGAGAAGCACAGGTATTACTAATGACATTAACACTGGCTCAGTTCTATTCAAGAATCCCAGTGAGTGTGACAGTAAGCACGCATGCACAATACCAGGATCTTGAAATTAAAGCAACAGCAGCATCGTTAATTTCATTTCTTAAACCTGTGCTTGTCCTGCTGTGACATGTCAAAATGGCTTCTGTGGAGAAAGTCCTATTGAGTGTATTTAGATGCTGCGTAAGAATCTGAGAGGTCCTGCAATAAACTGTGAAATTATGGGCAGCAAACTCTCTTCAAGACAGAGTTATTCATTACTGTAGATCCCATACTGGCATCCTGCCTGCGCAACTAATGGTAAACTAATGAACTACAATGGATAGGAAATATGTCCCAAAATGTTGAAAAGCTGAAAAACAACAAACAACATATAATTACTTGGATCCTCTTCCGTCTGCATCTGAGCAAATGAGAGGTGCAGATCATGCAGTTCACCGTCTGCTACGACATATGGAAACTACACCAGACTTCTTTACACTGATTTTACCTCTGCCTTCAACACACTCCAGCACCACCAGGTGATCAATAAACTACAGCCCCTCCAAGTTCCATCACTACCAATCCACTGAATCCATAACTTAATCTGAAAGAGACCACAAGCAGTAAGGGGTGACAATTCACTGTCACGCACCATTATTCTCATTACCAGTGCTCCACAGGGGTGCGACTCAGTCTGTTTCTCTACACCCTCTCTACAAACAACTGTCAAAGTCCATCCAGTATTATCCTTTGGTTTAAATATGCTGATTACATGGCCATCCTTGCACTGCTCAATAAAAACTCCTTCACTGTTTCTGCCTATCAGCCTTCTATATACTACCATTTTAGCTCATTGTGCGATGATAACTTTTGCAACGCCCTCCTCACCAGCCTCCCCACCAAACTCATCAACAGACTGCAAATCATTCAGAACTCGTCCGCCCGGATCACCACCTGCATCAAATCATCCGACCACATCACCCCTGTTCTCATCCAACTTCACTGGCTCCCTGTACAATACCGCATCCACTACAAAAACCTTCTCCTCACCTACAAAGCTCTCCACAATCTAGCCCCCACTTACCTCTGTGACCTCCTTCAGGAATACACCCCCTCCCGCACCTTCTGCTCAACCTCTGCTGGACTCCTCACCATCCCCACCTCACGTCTCAGCACCATGGGTGTCCGAGCCTTCAGCTGCTCAGCACACAGACTCTGGATCTCCCTCCATCCACACATAAGACAGTCAGACTCCATCACATCATTCAAATCCCAACTCAAAACCCACCTGTTCAAACTGGCATATTCACTCTAACTAGACACTGTGCACTACACTTTTTATGTTGATGTTTTGTTTTAATGATGTCTTACTGATCTTTTATCTTCTATGCTCTGTAAGGTGACCTTGGGTGACTTGAAAGGCGCCTCCAAATAATATGTATTATTATTATTATTATTATTAACTGGTCAACTGAACCTGATATTACCAACTTTTCAGCACAAGGTGAGGAGTTTCACCACTTGTCAATGTCATGTTGGCCGATTCCGATAATTTATTTTAAAGCCAACATCAGTCGATACCGATGATGTTCTACTTACTACTACTATAAATTGTGTAACTAAAAGTTGGACCAATAAAAAAAAAAAAAAAAAAAAAAATTAACAAACTCAAACTGCCTTTAACGTCATAAATCATAGTGAATACATTATGGAGGTGGTACAAACACTCATACTCTGATATTTGGTTGAGAAAGTGCATTTACATGAGTGAAGTGTGAATGCAGACATGGCTATAGATGTTAATTTATGGCTGGGCCTACTCATCTATTTGTCAAATACATTGTAAAACCAAAGATTTTATTCAGTCTAATATGTGAGACATACACATGTAAAAAAAATCACTTACGTAGCTGATACCAGCCGCCCTCTTGGACAGATGATAGAAAGAGCCGCTGATGTAGAATAGAGCCACGTGGAGTCGGTGCAAGAGGGTCAGGCCCTGATGGAGGACAAACACAGCTGGCAGGCACGCTCTCTTCTGGGGCTCTGTCAGCAGCCCCACGGCCCTCTGCATCCATCTCCTCAGCCAAGACTCCAGGCTCCACAGCCCAGATGCTGCCTGCCGCTGCCTGACACCGCTGCGGCTCTGTCCACATTCCAGCTCGTTCTCCAGGCACACCAGGACCTTGTCCAGGAGGTAAGGAAAGAAGGAATGGCAGAGGATGAAGAGGCCTCGTCTGGCCCGAGAGGGGATTTGATGTTTAGTGGGATCCACCTGGATGACACTGACATACTCCTCTCCCAGGGTTTGGTAACCTGGGGAGAAAAATGATACATATAGTTATTACTTAATCATAATACTATTAATTAAACATACATAAGTAAAGTTGTTGCTTTAGTCTGCTACTACCTGAGAATGTTGTTAAACCATAGTATGCAAGGTCTGACAGCAGCTCGATCTCTCTCCTCCAGTCCAGCCATCGTTTGGATCCTACAGGAAGTTCAACAAACTTTAAAAGAGAACAAGAGCTGGATTTCCTACACAGACCAGACCACAGCAACAAAGCTTCAGATTTGAACTGCTGCTTCATCACTTTGACGTACAAAAATAGCTTTTATTTTAATGATGACCAGTTCATCTTTGGTTTGAAAAAAATGGTCAGTGACCACTGAATTGAATAATCAAGACTTAGACATACAGTGTTAGGTTTGGGTCTCACAAACACCCACACAAGCTCGGACGTAGTTCACTGTTGTGTGGAAAATGGATACCAAATATCAGTGTATCTCCCACTGCCCCAGACAAAGGAGTTCAACTTGAACTGTTCCAATATCTCTGGGTCTTGTTCATGAGTGGGGGTAGAATGGAGCATGAGATGGATAGGCAGTAAAGGCCCATTGTCTGCAGTGATGCAGACACTGTGCCAGACTGTCGTGGTGAAGAGGGAGCTCAGCTGGAAGGCAAAGCTTTCGATTTACTGGTCCATCTACGCCCCAACCCTCACCTATGGTCATGAGCTTTGGGTAATGACTAAAAGAATGAGATCACGGATACAAGAGGCCAAAATGAGTTTCCTACATGGGGTGTCTGGGCTCAGCCTTAGAGACAGGGTGAGAAGATCCAGAGGGAACTCGGAGTAGAGCCACTGCTTGCATTGAAAGGGGTCAGTTGAGGTGGTTCTGACATCTGATCAGGATGCCTCCTATTAGAGGTGTTTCGGGCACTTGCAACTGGTAGGAGGCCCCGAGGCAGGCCGAGAACACACTGGAGGGATTACATCTCATCTGACCTGGGAACGACTCAGGATCCCCCAGGAGGAGCTGGAAAGCATCGGTGGGGAGAGGGACGTTTGGAGTACTTTGCTCAGTCTGCTGCCCCAGATAAGTGGATGAAAATGGATGAATATCTGTGCGTCCTTTTACCATGCTTAACCTACGATAACCAATACATGACTGTTTTTGTAACTTTTACTCTTCAACTCTGCATTTACCAAGTGACAAAGCAGCATTTATATCAGTTGATATGTCAGAGAATCAGAATCAGAAAGGCTTTACTGATCCCCAGGATCAACTTAGTGAAAGTAAAGCAGGGAAAACATAAAATATGTGCAATATGCTACAATGTTAACACTAGTAGGGATGCACAATATTGGATCTTTTGCTGACATCCAATATGCTGATATGTAACAACTCATTTGACCAATAACCGATACAAATATATACACTTTTTTTTCCCTAACTTATTTTATTTATTTTTTTTAAAACTTTATTTTTTCATGTTTTTTTTGTACAAAACATGGGCAGCATCAGTGTAATGAACAGAAATAGGTATGGGTACAATATGATGCGGCTAAGTAATACAAATGCTAGCCATGTAGTGCCCTTATAGACACAAAAGAAACAACAAAAAAGGAGAGAAGAACAAAAGGTATAAGTACACATATGCCTGCGCACCTGATCTCATGAGTGCACATGTTCACTTACGCCCATTTGTCTAAATAGTCATACACAATCATACACAGTTGCACACATACATATGAACACTCATAGGAACGAAACATGAGAGAACCGTGGGGTTGCGAGTAGGTCGTATGTCACATTACAGCAATATAGTTGCAATATTGTTTTTCTTAAAACCAAAATATATAAAGCATTAAGGTTGGTTATCACCTCTTCTTGTAATATAAGTGCTCCATTTTTCCCAGAGGGCATCACCTTTGTCCCTTTGTAATCTGAGACTAAAAGTCAGTAGTTCCATTGTTTGGATGTCTTTAATTATGGCCTCCCACTGATTAACCGTGGGAGGTTCTGTGTTGAGCCATCTTCTTGTTATGGCTTTTTTGCTGGCAGCCATGAAGATTTTTAGGAGGTATCTGTCTTTTTTTTGGTAATTCTGTGTCCATATTGCCCAGGTAGAATGATAAACAAGTGAAATTAAAATTATACTGCAAGACTTCACTGATAATACTTTGAACTCCAACCAAGAAAGATTTAAGCATGGGACAGCTCCAAAATATGAGTGTATGATCTGCCATACTGTGTCCACACCCTATCCAGCATGTGGGTTGTAGTCCTGTCTGTTTAGACTTTTGCTTTGGTGTTATGAAGAATCGGATATAGTTTTTCCAGGAAAAATCTCTCCATAGTTGTGAGGCAGTAGTAGTGATTTGTGTGTTAATTACATTTGTCCAGTCTTCAGAAGTAATTACGATTCCCAACTCTTTTTCCCATTTCGCCTTAATATAGTTTGTTGAATGGCCTCTTAATTCAGCTATATGTCTATATAGTTCGCCAATGATCTTTCTGGACAGTTTTGTATTATAGGCTTTGATAAACATTTTGGTAATACCTGATATATTTTCCTGTATAAGTCCTTTAATGTTCTTATCAAAGTAGTGCCGGAGTTGGAGGTACCTATAGAAATCCTGCAGAGCAAGGTCGTATTTATCAGATATGGTCTTGAAGTCTATAAATTCCTGGTTTTCGATGAATAGACATAATGTGGAGAGTCGTTTTCTCGTCCATTGAGTGAAGCATCCGTCATTCATACCTGGTTTGAAATCTGGGTCATGGATTGGCCACATTAAAATTCGAATTTCTTTCTGAATGTTAAGTTGTTTCACCAAGCCAAACCAGGTTTCTATAGAAAATCTAACCCACTGGCTCTGGATATCATGTTGTTTAGCCACCACTGGGCTTCCTAAAAAACTCTGTATAGGCCTGTCTGACAGTGATAACTCAACATCTTTCCATTTTGCAAAGTAGTCTTTATTGCACCAGAGCAGCAGTGGTCTTATTTGTGCCGCTAAATAGTAATCTTTGAGCCTCGGTAAGCCCATCCCCCCAATATGCTTTGGCAACTGTAAAGTTTTGTATCTCACCCTGGGAGCTTTTCCATTCCAGATGAAGCGGGATATCATCTTATCCCATTCTCTAAACTGACTATCAGGGACACAAATGGGTAAGGACTGAAACAGATAGAGTAATCTGGGAAAAATATTTGTTTTTATTGTAATCCTAACTTATTTTATTGATCATCAAGTCTCTTCTATGGTGGAATTCACATCATATTACACATGCATACTCTTATGGTGATGGCCCACCAGCAGGTAGAGACGTGAAATACAATATTTTTCGATGTATGCAATATTCAATAATTGTGCAAATTAAGAACAAGCATATTGGCCGGCTTTGATAGTTCATTTCAAAGCCAATATTGGCCGATACAATGACGTGCTGATATAATCGTGCATCCTTTGCTATATTACAATGTATACAACTAGTGTGAAGTTAGAAATATAATATGTGCATAATGTGACAATGTACAACATAATATATACATCAGGAGAAATAAGAATAAGAAATATATTCGATACATACCATATGTGCAACATCTGTTAAATATACATTCACAAGTAGTATTGCTGTTGCTTCAATTACTTCACCATTTAAGACAGTGTTATAAAATTACTGAACAATTATTGTACATCGATATCAGTTTTTAAGATATATTGGGCCATTATTTCCCCAGTCTACAATCTACTAAAAGACAACGTGGACAGCAGGAGCCATGACAGCGTGAGGCAGCATCTGATTTGCTCTAAAGCTAACGTTACATATTAGTTAGTTGAGCTAGTTAAAGAAGACAAACGGTAACGTTCATTCCCAGCGAGCTGAACTTGAACAAACTTACCAGCAAGTGTTTGAACAGCTTCGTTTGCGTTGTTTCTCAGGAAACTTTGATAATATTCGTCCTTTTGACTGGACCGAATCAACTGGGACTGGTTCGCAGGAGCGAGCGGCATTGTAACCCTACGCTAACAACAGAGAGCTCATCTTTCAGTTTTACAGCATGTTGTTGTCAACCCAGTAAAACACTTACTTGACGTTATCCTGTAGCCTACAAACTGCTGAATGCTCAGACTAATAAACATGAAAGATGAAAGATGGGCTGCAGAAAATACACAGCACACCGATAACAGCATATAAATTAACTACTGTCTTGTTTCCATGGTGTCACACTCAGTTTTTATATTCTGCATGGGTTTCATATTCTATTCTACGGCTCTGGCTAAATCCAGGAAACAAATAGGAAGTTGATGCTCTGTAAGAAACAAAACAGACAACAGTGCCCCTCCCTGGTCGGAGGAGGCATTACATGCACACCTTCAACTAGAAACAAGCTCCCTTATAAACTCTTGTATTTCCAAAGAGAATATTTGAAAAGGAATAAAACTTTCGTTTCATCATCATTTCACATAGATTTGAATGATTTAAGATTAATTTTCCTGTCATTTTATTCTGAGTTCACAAGACAAGGCTATACAGGCACAGCACAGATAGACTTCAGGTGGTGCCTGAGGACCTGCCCTGTTGGTCTGTGGGTAAATAAGTGCCCTTTTTGCAAGACTTTTTTTCTTTTTCCTTTTTGAATTCTATATTTTAGTTTTTAATTTTGGCCCATGACGTCAATTGTCAATTAAATGTGTGTTGTATGCCTGACAATGAATTTTGTTTTCCTTTACATAAATCAACATTTCCACCATAAATTAATGCAGAAAACTTTACCAGACTGCAAGAAATGAAGTGTTTGAGGCTCAAAATTTCCTGGGGGAGGACCCCCAGACACCCCCACTTAATATGTGTTCCCAGCAATGTTCAAATGATATGACACCCTTGTCTGCATCACTATATAGGTATTAAAATAAATTAACGAATATGTTAGCAAGTCAAAGATGTGATATTGTATGTGACTTTATCTTTTTATCAATAATCATGAGAAGGTTGCCCTTTTTTTTTTGTTTGAGCACCTGCCCACCATCATAAAGTTTGCGACACCACACTGGTCGGGCTCGTAACAGGGGAGGATGAGACAGCCTACAGAGCAGAGGTCCACAACCTGGTCACATGGTGTACAGAGAACAACCTGACACTCAACACCAAGAAAACCAAGGAGCTCATTGTGGACTTCAGGAAGCAGGGTACTGACCCAGTCCCTCTGTCCATCAGTGGAGACACTGTGGAGAGGGTCCACAGCTTCAAATTCCTGGGTGCCATCATCTCTGACCGACTGACCTGGTCAGACAACACTATGGCAGCAGTGAAGAAGGCAGAACAATGACTCCACTTTCTGAGGCTTCTCAAAAAAAGTGACCTGTCTGTGAAGCTCCTGGTGCTCTTCTATCGCTCCACCATAGAGTATCCTGGTGTACTGTGTGTCTGTGTGGTGCTCTGGGTGCTCGGCACAACTCAGCCCAAAAAAATCATCAGCTATTTTACAGTTAATCTTACTTATCCTATGTGCATAGACTAATACTGGCACTGTAAACATTATGAGTTCCACAACAATCCTGTTTTAATGTGCTATATATCTGTATGTGTGAGGTGATTCATGGGTCTTCACATAGGCTGGTTGTCCTTTTCCTTAAAAAGAGAAATAAACAGATTTAATATGAAGGAGTACAAAGAACAAAACATTAACTGGGATGAAGCTTTCACAAGTTCAGACCCCATTTTGAAAATGGCCATATCATTTGTTCTCTTGCCAAATTTTAGCCTAATTATGGAGTGTTACTTAGCTCCTTTCCCAATCCAATTCCCAGTCCAATTAAATGGCCTAGTTGAGCTGTGACTACAGCTCGATTTAACTGTGCATGTAAATGTACTGAGTGACTTAAAAGAAGACTCAGTAAGGCTCACAGCCAGGATTTTACAAATACTGAGGTCACAAGTTCCCCTGACGCCAACACAACAAAAGTCTCGAAAATGATTTTTCATATTTTTTCCATTAAGTTACCTGTTTGACCATATCATGTGCACCTTTTATTTCTCAGCATGGATGTCTAAATGGTGTTCAATCATGCTTATAGAATGATTAAACATTGCACATTAATGCATTATGAATGTGCTGGTAATACAACAGTACAACCTACTAAATATCCTAACACTAGGCCAATATTATGAAACAGTTTTAATGATGTTTTATGCCTTTAACTGCACCTCCAAAATTTGCATTACTCCAGTGTCACAATTGCTGCTAAAAACTCCTTGTTGTAACACAGCAGCTATAAAGATCCACAGTACAAGCTGCTACAAGGCACTTTTCTACCAACCTGTGTAAGTAGGTTAAGTACATTCATTCATTCATTTAAAGCTCGGGCATCTTTGCTGTGATCTGCCCGGAAAGTTGCAGAACCAGTTTCTTTGTCTCCCCAGTGCAGCTCCCAGAGCCAGCTAGGTATACTATAACCACTACAGAGAACATCCCATTATAAGCCCACTCCTATCCTTTTACGGGGACTTTTCTTAGCACTTGTATCAACAGTCTGTCCTACCATCCAGGAAGTTGAACTTTGCTCTCAGTGAGGGGAGGAGTTGAGTTTTCCTCTCCCTCCTCCCTTTAAGTTAAGAGCTACTTGTTACTTGTTGCAGATGGAAGGTGTATAGAGTGGGAAACACTCTGCTGTTTGGACTAAACCACTTTCGAGCACAGAGGGAGAGTCTGGGAATTCGACAGGTAAGACACCTATTTGACAGGCTGCATGCGCAGTGTGAAATTCAGCAACAAACTACAGTATTTGTTCGCTAAGCTGGTTTCAAGGCATCAGCCCAGACAGGCTTTGGAAGGCTGATAAAGACACTAAAGTAATCACATCTGCTCTGCTTTGTGATTATCATGTTTAAATTGGACCTTTTGTTAAGCTTAAAAAGTTCTGAATCTTCAGAACGTCCCCCTGATGTTGATTCTGATTAGACAAGAGAAAAGTAGAAGTCTTTCCCGGACACTGAACCAGTCAGTTTAGGTAAAGGTTTTCTTTCAGTAGCACTGTTGTTTTAATGGATTCTTCATTTGATACATCAGATGCAGTGTATTCACCGTATGTGAGCGGAGCAGCACTGATTGTTAGAAGCCAACAGAAATACAGTCAGACAGTATAATGATAACAGATAAACATCACCATGCAGACTTGTGTGGAGTTATCACAGGTATGAAATCACAGTCACAGCTTCCAATACACACCTGCTGTGTTACTGTAGCATTTCAGTCTTATCAGGAGAGCGTTTGCTGAATATCCCTACACCATCTACACATAAATATCAAATACTGATATTTTTTAATTGGACTTTTTGTGCAAGTTATTACAAATATATTTATTTAGTGTTTCCCTAGAGCCCTTTTTAGATAGGAATTGTGCAGATTTGCAGGAAAGCCCAATAAGTCTTTTTTCAGCATTGGCAGTATAAAAACAAAATCGGGGAGTGCGGCAAAATGCTGCCTACCTCGGGGCAATGGGGGGCGTGAGCAAGTAACAAAACGTGTAGCTCAGCATGTGACCTCAACAGTGACGTAGAGGGAAGCTGCCGCTGGTCAGTCCTTCGGTGATTCTCGCCTAAGTCGGCCCGTTCTTCACCACCCCCGTCATTTGACGGTTAATGGCCTCTTCATTTGAGAGGACAAGGAGGGCGCGCAATTCCTTGTCTCCTCAGTTGCTCATCTTTACAGTGTCTGTCAGGTTTGCGTTTCCCTCTTGCTACTAGCTGCTTGCTAATTCCTGCTATCGGCTGTTTCCTGTTTATCCACCGCCAGTGGCTCGCACGTTCGGCGTCATCAACAGGTCCTCCCACAAGTCATCAACAGCCCCTCCTGTTGCAGAAGGCCGCCTCGGTCTTTTTAAACTAAAAGGGTTCTGCCAATATGACTACCCTACGAGGCAGAAAATTGGGCACCTCGGATCAACTCGCCAATCCGGCTCTATGTGTCTAAACATTTGCAGAAAATCTGGCAGTGTAAAAGGGGCTTAAAGGGGACATGTTCCTCTGCCTGTTGCAGCTCCCTCTCTCTCCTCGTCCGCTCTTCAATTTCAATGAGCTCTGCATCCGTGTACGTCCGTGTACTCTATGTTCAAATAAATACGGGCGATCATCAAATTCAAATGGCTCATCCAGATCCAGTTGGTCAAAATCAGGTAAAAATTTAGCCATGACTACTCCAGAGTAACTCCTCACGTTTGGTAAGGTCACTCCAGCGGTTACTTCCGGCAATAACTTTCAGAGCCAGACTTTCACTCTCTGAGTGATTGTATACTAAAGTTGCAACAGGCAGAGGAACATGTCTGAATCCAGCTAAAGGTAAACACAGACGTTCATCAGACGTTCATTTCTCCTTTCCGTTATGTTGTCGGATAATTATTCTAACAATCCGAGCCTATCTGTGTGAAAAAAATGCACTTTTAGTGGGCGTATTTTGACGTTGTTTGACATTGTCTGAGTGCCCTATTATTTAATATAGCGCACACTCACAGGCTTTAGACAGATCAGCCCTAGCTTCGTACTGGGGAAGTGTCAAATATTGAACATCCTATCATTCATTTAGACAAAAGTAGATCAGAAAATAGGGCCCAGGTTGAAAAGAACATTAGTTCCCCTTTAAGATTTATATATTTTTTTTGTTGTGAAACAACACTTAATCAGAAGCTAACGGGTTTCATGTGTTGAATGCAGAAAACACATTTTTACATGTGAATGTTACATCTGACACACTGCCATTTAAAAGCTTGGAATTTTAGTGGGTTTTTTTTCTTAATATCTAACAGAGACGGCTGGTATAAATGGGCTAGCAGGGCTAAGCCCTGCCTATCTTTTACAATAACGACGAGAAAATTATTAAGTTAAAGAAAATACTAAAATATTAGTTACTGAACCTCAGAACTGATTGTTTTTGGTGGAACCTATAGCAGCAACAGCACTAAAATAGTCACAAAAACCAGGATTTATCTAAATGGGCTGATTTTTTTCAGCCCATACTCCTAGAATCAGCTTCCAATCATTGTTGTCACATCGTGAGTGACAGGTGTCGTGACACGCCCCGTTGATTTACTGTCAAGTTGGGCTAAATTCATTCAGCCCACGCCACTGACTTTTGACCAATGACAGTGCGTGGAAGTACAGTGAGGGCCTGCCCACCAGTGTTGCCAACTTAGCGACTTTGTCGCTATATTTAGCGACTTTTCAGACCCCTCTAGCGACTCTTTTTCAAAAAAGCGACTAGCGACAAATCTAGCGACTTTTTCTGA